AGGTGCAACCATTGAGTATCTTTAATGAGGAAATGTTTCGTTACACAGTGCCTTCAGTCCATACAAAAGAGAATGGTGAAGAACAGGAATAGTTTGAGGTAATCAGTCCCTAAGCCTCGAGTCGATGTAACTTGTCGGTTCTCTGAACCATTTATCTACGCCCCAGTGTATTGAGTACTAATGGACTCTGTCTTACAGAGGGAACTCAACAGATTCCTCAAAACAATTTCTGAACAGCCAGGATGAGCTGCATACTCTGGACTGTGGGTGGCAGGCACTAACAACTTGATGGATCTAACCAGAAACCAGGCCTGGTTTAGGACGGATGCAGAGGCAGTGACCTCTGGAAGCGACTCCACATAAAGCAAGACAAAACTGACAGAATCTGTCTGGGAAAATCCGAACTTCAACCCAATTAACATAAAAAAAACACCATAGTTAAGTTGTGTGTGTCTGTATCTGTCTGTCTGTGTGTCTCAAACCACAGTAGTCTCACTGTAGACCACAGCCAATGGGTGCATACAAATAGGAAATGTACTATAACAAAGTAAGCAACAATTGTTATAATTGTTGGGGAGCGCTAAACCCGTAGGGTTATATATACAGCACCTGTGGGGGAGGTATTCAGACTCAATTCAGGGAACTGAAGCACAGATACAATTCCCTAGATAAAAGGCCCCTCACCAGCATCAAGGAACCTTCCTTGAGGGGCTAGTAAGCAACAAACACTTACACAAAAATAATAGCACCAGTACCTGAGCTGAAGCAATTCACTGGACGAGACTGGTCCTTCCTGTACGATTATAACGTCACAAGTGAGACAAGGAGAAAGAGAGCAGAGGGTGTTAGTAGTAGTTGTAGTAGTAGTAGTTGTAGTAGTAGTAGTTGTAGTTGTAGTAGTAGTAGTTGTAGTGGTAGTAGCGGTAACAGCAACAGTAGTAGTAGTAGTGAGAAATGATATAGTGATACCATCAAGATGTGGAAAAAGACACTTATGTACAGTTCAGGACAATTATTAAAGGAAACGTTTCGCCACTAGTGGCTTCTTCAGTCCCGAATTGTACATAAGTGTCTTTTCCACGGTAGTAGTAGTCTCTCTGGTGCTTACATCATGAGACTAGATGAAACAGACATGTGCAACATCTGGTTATCTTTATTTTGAAGAAGGTTCACCAACCAGTGGCTTTATCACCGCAGTACAGGGACAAAAGCAGAAGACTGAAGAAGGGATAGAAGATGAGATATGTTCACCTGCTGCTAGGCTGAAGGACTAAGAAAGAAGGAACACTGCAGCAGGCCTATTGAATCTAC